CTCAAAAAAAAAAAAAAAAAAAAAGAAACTGTGAGCATCTGCATATTTGGTTTATTGTCTAAGGCAGGTTGTTAAAATGTTGTAGAGAAGAGGCAATCACCATGCCCTGCATATTTGTACACACGCACATGAACATATTTTGTCAACAAGTTTTAACACTCAGTTTTTCCAGGCTCCACGCTCACCCTGCCCACCTCTGCCAGAGAAGTCTTTAAGCCTGTATTTTATCATTTTGGTCCTCATTAAAATTTTCCTTTCCTCCTAAAGTAGATCTAAGTCCCTTCGCCTGTCTTTGAAGCATCTCTAATGTCTCCTTACTCCAGCCTCATTTTCCATTGCCCTCCAGCCCCATGCTCTGTCTGCAATGTGCTGTTCCTGGTCTCACTTCTCTCTTGGCCCTAGCCCCGGTCTTTTCCCCAACCTATCTGGGTGCTGCCTGTGTTCAACGTGCCCAGCCCTTATCTACCATGTTCCCTTTAGATTTCTATGACCTCCAGAAGCCCACATGGATACTGCAGTGGTGTGATTTTTCCCCTCTGTGTTTCATGTAGATGGTCAGCTCCCTGGAGATTTCACACTGTCGATATGTCAACAGCACTTCACAGCGTAGGGGCACACAGGAGGCAGCATTTGTCCAGTGTTCAGGGTATGGGCTCTGGAGTCACCCTGTTGAATCAGAATCCAAGTGTACTGGGTGGCAGAGTATTCCCCAAAATTTCACATCCACTTGGAATCTTAGCATGTGACCTTGTTTGGAACTAGGCCTTTTGCAGATACAGTTAATTAAGATGAAGTCATACTGAATTTGAGTGGCTCCAAATTCAATGTGACTGGTGTCTTTATAAGAAGAGGAAGAAACAGAGACAGACAGAGACACACAAAGTGTAGCAGAAGCTGGAGTGATGCTGTCACCAGCCTAGAGGCAGCATGCCCTGCTGACACCTTGATCTTGGACTTCTAGCCTCCAGAACTGTGAGACAATAAATGTCTATTGTCTTAAGCTTCAGGAAACTCATCTACCACATTTCCATGTCAGCAGGGGGAGACATGGACCCTCCCTTGATCTCATCACCTCATTTGTTAAATCAGGACAGCAGGATCAGGCACTGTGGCTCACGCCCGTAATCCCAGCACTTTGGGAGGCCAAGGTGGGGAGATCACTTTAAGTCAGGAGTTTGAGACCAGCCTGGACAACGTAATGAAACCCTGTCTCTAGTAAAAATACAAAAATTAGCCAGGTATGGTGGTGGGTGCCTAAAATCCCAGCTACGGGGGAGGTGGAGGCAGGAGAATTGCTGAACCCAGGAGGCAGAGGTTGCAGTGAGCCAAGATCATGCCACTGCACTACAGCTGGGTGACAGAGTGAAACTCCATCTCAAAAAAAAAAAAAAAAGACAAAAACAAAAAAACGAGGACAATTATGTTGGAGGGACTAATATGGAAAGATGCATTCACCACCATATTGCATGTCACCATCTGTTAGGACATAGAAGTATAATTGGTGCCCTTGCCATGCTTGACAGGCTCTCCGTTTGCTGCTCCATGATTGGTGTTTGGTAGGGAGCTTTCTCATGCCGTACTGTGTAGCCTTCTTGACCTGTTAGTTCCTTTATCACCACCCATTCCTTCTCTCATCCTAATCTTTCAAGGGAAAGAGATACCCAAGAAAAACACATTTCCTGAATATTCTTTTTGGGCTTAAGATGATAAGCCTCTTCTAACCAAACTGGACCCAAGAATAGGCCAGCAAGTACAGTGTCCTGAGTTCTCTTCCTAATGGAAATCCCACGGCATTCGGTGGGAGGTCAAGAATCCCTGAGGTGGATCTTCATTAGAGGGATTCTGAATGGGTGATATGGTTTGGCTCTGTGTCCCCCTACAAATCTCTTCTTGAAGTCTAATCTCCATAATCCCTATATGTCAAAGGAGAGACCGGGGGGAGGTAACTGAATCATGTCGGTGCTTTCCCCTATGCTGTTCACAAGATCTGATGGTTTTATAGGAGGCTCTTCCCAATTTGCTTGGCACTTCTCCTTTCTGCTGCCTTGTGAAGACGGTGCTTTACTTCCTCTTCAACTTTTGCCATGATTGTAAGTTTCCTGAAGCCTCCCCAACCATGCTGAGCTGTGAGTCAATTAGGCCTCTTTCCTTTATAAATTACTCAGTCTTGGGCAGTTCTGTGTAGCAGTGTTGAAAATGATCTAATACAGTGAGTCTGACTTTTCAGGGGCCGTGGGATAAATGTTAAAGAAGCACCCTTCATTCTCTCTCTTTCTACTGCATAATACAATGCTTGTCTCAGGGGCTTTAAGGGACACAGTCCTGTTCACTCCTAAGTACTGGAGAGTCTCAGTATTTTGGAAAGTTTTTTTTTTTTTTTTTATTGGAATTGTAATGTATGCTCATAGGAGAATCCTCAAAAAATAGTTTAAACTGTGGAAAAGCAGAAAAAAAAAACTCACCATCCAGAAGTAACAATTGTTATCATTTGATATATTTATTTCTGTATTTTCCCGTGTAAAAGTGTTTACAGGGCTGATATTTTACTACTCATACTGCATTATTTATGTTTTTTCCCACTTAACATTAGGGCATAACCTCTGTTGTTTGGACTTATTGTCCCTAATAGATGCATAAGATTCTGTTGTAAGAATGCACCAACATTCATTTGGTTGTTTCTGACCACATTTTTGGGCAGTTAGGTTGTACCTTGGATTTTAGTTTTGAGTATGAGTAAAGGTGAGAAGCTAAAACCAAAGAGCCTTGTATAGTAAAGGAAGAAGGACTGGAGGGAGACTCTCACGAGGGCATTCCCTGAGGCCCCTCAGATCTGTGTTAACCCAATCTGGGTTTGGCCTTCCAAGAAATCCCAGTAAACCGCTCTGTAACTCTTTTGCATTCTGCATTCATAGAGAAGCAAACAACAACAACAAATCAGTGTGTAGCAGAAATTCTGAGACAGCAGTAGCAGCTGCATTTCTGATAAGTCCTCTAACAAGCACCTGCATATTCATGCTAAAGCTTTTGACTGTTCTTGCTCAATGAGAGGGATTTAGTGAGGAATCATAGTAATGGAGAAGTTTGCTGATAATTCTTTACTTTAAAAATAAATAATATCTAAGCACGATTGTCTTAGGGTCAAAGAATGTATATATATTATATATAATATAATTTATATATAAGTTAGAAATATTATAATAATTTTTAATAAAAATATATATATTTATATTATATATTTATATATATAATAATATTCAGTGGAGTTGCCTTAGCAAATAAATGGAGCCTCATTTTTCAGAGCATTTAACACAGTGGTTCCCAGGTTTTTTGGCATCAGAGACCAGTTTCATGGAAGACCATTTTTCCATGGACTAGGGTGGGGGGATGGTTCATGGAGGGACACACAGAAGTACCATCTAGTTGAGAAGTTCTCTGAGAAGTCATGTCCAAGTGCAGAGGGAAGGTATGTTAGTCCATTTCCAAATTGCTATAAGGAAATACCCAAGACTGGGTAACTTATAAAGAAAAGTGGTTTAGTTAACTCACAGTTCCACATGGCTAGGTAGGCCTCAGGAAACTTACAATCATGGTGGAAGGCACCTCTTTACAGGGCAGTAGGAGACAGAATGAGAGCCAGCAGGTGAAATGCCAGACACTTATAAAATCATCAGATCTCATGAGAACTCACTCATTATTATGAGAACAGCATGAGGGAAACCACCCCCATGATTCAATTACCTCCCACTAGGTCGTTCCCACAGCATGTGGGGATTGTGGGGATTATAATTCAAGATAAGATTTGGGTAGGGACACAGCCAAACCATATCAGAAGAGAAGGAAGATAGCTAGCAGGCAAGGAATTGGGGATGTGCCTGGGGAGCTTTCCAGAAGAGCAATGCATATTTATGAACAAGTAAAAGTTAATCACATTCAAAAAAGGGCTGCTCTGCAGAAGGTTCCCCGGTAAAGCTTCTGGCACACACAAAGGCATGACATAGGTCTTAGTCGTTGCCTGCCACTCAAAATCACCTGGGGAACTTGTTAATGTATCAGTTTCTAGGCTTCCTTGAATTAAACTAATCTGAATTAAAACAAATCTGTAATAAGTTTTTGCTTGTTTGTTGATTATTTAAGGAGGGGTGAAAGGGTCAGACAAAAATATAACCAGCCTATCATGACTTATTTTCCTCCGAAAAAGATGCTGATATTGAAGAGGCAATGGTAGGAGAGTACCTCTACTTGAGAACAGAAATAGAAAAGTTCATGTTTCAAAAGTATTCTTATAAAGGTTTTGTGTGTGCATGGATTTGGGTTCCTGTTTTGTTTAATTGCATTGCTCATGTGTTCCGTTCGTTCATTAATTTAACAATTATTTACTAATCCATGTGCCAGGTGTTTGTGGAATAGTGCTGCTTACCAAACTGTCCTTAGCTTTTGTGAAGCTAGATATTCTTTAAAACAAAAAAGTAAGTAAATGATAACTAATTTCTCTCAGGCAAGTATTTCACTTTGCTTTTG